CCCACATTATTCAAATGGACTGAAACTGTACAAATGCTAAATTTGTATCTGGATCTGGATCTAGTGATGGCTGTGATGAGTTACATTGAATTGAGTTTGAGCGAGAGATAGATGGAAGCTTTGTAGATGTGGTTCCTGCATCAAGTGATTGAGTACAGTTGTCTAAAGCAGCTGAGGAAAGAACATCTTAAGCCTGTATTTTTCTGATATCAAAAAGCTAAGCAGGGCTGGGCCAGATGAGAGATGACCAGGAAATAACAGGACTGTAGATGAGACCGAAGAGCAAGAAAAAAAAAATTTCTAAGTAGTCAGTGACAAACAACTTCTGTAATGTCGCTGAGAAAACTACAGGTATCTGTGAAATCATCAGGAGCTGAGTTTTACCTTACTTTAATCTCCCTAATGGATTATTCTCAACACATTGGAGGTGAAGCTGGTTTAGAGGTTTCCATTGTGGAATGGATTAGACTATGGGAGAAGAAATTGCATTAATAAAAATAGTACTATGGGTATAATACATAAAGAACAATTGCAGGAACTGGACATACCTAGTCTAGTGAAAAGAAGGACCAACTTATTTACCAAAGTACCTGAAGGCAAGACAAGAAACAATGGGTGGAAACTAATCAAGGAGGGAAGCAACCTGGAGCTAAGGAGAACAATCAACCAGTGAAGCAAATTGCCTTCGGAAATTGTGGGTGCCCCATCTCTGGAGGCTTTTAAGAAGAGGCTGGACAGCCATTTGTCAAAAATAGTATAGCTCTCCTGCATGAGCGGGGGGTTGGACTAGATGTCCTCCAAGGTCCCTTCCATTTCTGATACTGCTATAGCACTGATTGTTGAATGGTGTCATTCTATCATCCTAAAAATGTAACTGACAGCTTCTTTCAGTGAGAATAGATAGGACAGCTGTCAAGATAAAGGACAATCCGAATGAAGCTTGTTTCCTAAAAGGTGAGGCTATATACATTTGCTTTTCACCTCCCTTTGTTAGGCCTATGAATACATGGTTATTTGTTATAGGATACATTAAACAAACACCCCAGTCTGTCTGGATAGCATAAATTTATATTTATGGATCTATGAAAAAGCATATTCTTTTAAAACCTTATTGGTACGGCAACCAGCACTTTATAAACTTGAACAGGTAAATAGATGGGTAATTTCTGCTGAAATGCAGAAACACTTTTCTATAGTTATTGGGTAGTTTCCATATTTGCTTGTCCTCATTATGTTTCCTTCCTGTCTTACTTCAGTGGTTAAATGGAACCATACGATATCAAAAAATACAACTTTAGTTGTTTACAAAGATTCTCTGGGTTTTTTTAAACCATATAATACTTAGTTGGACATGCCTCTGTATACAGTGCAGCATTGGATGTTCTAGAGTTTGTATGCTGGTTGGCAAAACACATCTATATTTTTCCATACTCTATGGTAATCTGCACAAAAATACCATAAATAGAAAATTCTAGACAAGGTTGTTGGGGGAATGGCAGATGCTAGTCGCACATGGCAGAGGATGTCACCACATTATTCTGGAAGCTGCCCAGTTTGGAATATGATGAGTGGCTATATAAATGTTTTAAATAAATAAAAATTTAAAAAAAACTTTTTATAACTGATGGAAATTTTTTATGGCTCAGACTTCAGACAGTATCATAACCATTACAATGGATCTTCACCATTAAATAAGTAAGATGGTTCTTAAAAACAATTGGCAAACTGAACTGAGAACGAAGTCATGCTTTCAAAATACAATTCTGCAGTCAAGAGAATGATCTACATAGAAATGTTGCCTGACTCAATTCTACACATGCTAGACTAAATGTGACAGAATGAAGTTTTCCTCTAAGGAAATAGGCATAAGCTCAGTTCACACAACATGCTTAAGCCACTAGTTTGCTGGCTTTGAGTTAATAGCTGGGTTTTGTACTAAGCAAGTTGTGGAGTACTTAGTAAACCATGGTTTAATGTCCTAGGAAATAATTACATTACAATTTCAGTTACTATTTGAACAAAATTTTACACCAACTATGGCAACATAACTGAGATTCTTAAATACAGGTCTCATTACATAGACATAACTCATGATAATAAATTGTAACTATCCAATCAGATTAAGGTTTCCCATTTTAGGGGATGGTTCCCCATTGGATGGTATGCTGCGAAAGACTGTCAGCTCCAATATAGAAAATGTTGGAGATACCAGCAGTCAACATTTATAAAAATAAAACTGCAGGTAACTATATGAAAAATTGCCTTTATAGGTAGACATAGAATCAATCTCCAGAAGAGAAATAGAAAATAAAACATATTTAAGGGAAGAAGTTCTGAGTCCTCTTTCATTTTTATAGTTCTCATCACTTTTATATGCTGAATACATGTAAAGAGAGACAAGTCTAGTAACCGGCCCAAGTGAAAACTGTATCCCCATTATAATTCTCACAAAATATCAGATTGTCTTTGGGTTTCAATAGGTTGCCGATAGACAACAGTAGAGTTGCTACGATGTTCACCATGCTGGTTCCTGCACTGATATTAGCAACTTTTTTAGATAGGTCAAGAGATTCTAGAATTGTAGTCCAACACACTGGATGAATATCAGTTTGGAAAATTGGTTTATCGGTTATAATGAATTCAAACCCTCCAGGTTGGAGGTCACAGGGATGATGCAAATAGCCTTCAGTGTAGTTTTAATTAAAATGGCCACGGCAAAGATTTTATGAAGGGAGAGGAAACATGTGATACTCTGATCTCTTTATAAAAATGGTAATCAGATTTTTTAAATAACCTGAAGGTGCCCTAAAGGTGGCAGATTTAACAAGCATGACCTTTTCTGAGCTATGCTTTCAATATTCCCGTTTTGAAAGGGACATTTCTCTTTTCTCTCCCCACCTCAGGAAAAGGAAACACAAGACCTTTACAGTTAGGTAGTATTAAAAAAAAGGGTATGTTTCAACCTCCATATTCCAGATTACGTTTTGTCTTTTCCCATTGGTCCTTGGCCCTTAATTTAAATGTGATAAATAGCATACCTAAGATTATCCTGCTTAATCTTTAACAAAGTGGTGGAATGGGCTAAATTAGTTGCTTTCTTGATCAGTTACCATAAGATTAGAGAGTATGCAAGTAGAGACTGTTTTAGACTCTTAGCTTTCCCAATTATACAGTACCTTATTTTAAAAAAATATTTAGTGCCCCCTGGTGGCTAGTTGCTTACATTAATAGATTCTGTCCTTTTGCTTATGAAAATAAAGTGGACGCCTGAAATTTAGGAGAGCATAAACCAGCCCATTGTGTCTTCATCTTTTCATTTTTGGCACTGCTTTTTATGCAGGACTGCTAGTAGCACATGGTATATGGGTATTTTAAGCAAGTTTCTTTCCTGTGTCAAATCTGAAACCTACCATATTTTTTGGATAAGATGTACTTTTTTGTCCCCCAAAAGGGGGCGAAAATGTCTGTGTCTTATAGACTGAATATTGCCGAAGCACCACCCACCCGCCAGCCATTTTTTGGCTTCCACATGCCCTGTTTTCGGGCCTTTTTTTCAAGGCTTTTTTTGGCTTGTTTTTGAGACACTTTTGGCCCGTTTTGGGGGCATTTTTTGGCTTGTTTTTGAGGCTTTTGTGGCCCATTAGTGTGGCTTTTTGGCCTGTTTTTCTGAAAAAAAAAAGCCTCAAAGACGGCCCCCAAAAAGGGCCAGAAAAAAGCCTCGAAAATGGGCCGAAAAAGCCCCGGAAACAGTCCGAAAAAAGTCTGGAAAAGGGCCAAAAAAAGGCCAGAAAAAAGAGAGGCCAAAAACTTTTTTTAAGTTGTTTTCCTTTTCTAAATTTAGGTACGTCTTATAGTCAGTTATGTCTTATAGTCCAAAAAATACAGTATTTATTTTGCATTTTCTCATGGATGTGGGTACTTTTGTTCAAAAGCTAATCAGCATTTATAATTATTTCAAACACGCCTTGTTTGGCTTTTTTTAAAGAACCTAGGTATCACAGCCAAAGGAAATTTGGATTTCTCCAAGCAATTTTAGATGATGGTTTCTAAGTTTAAGAATGACAAAGACGTGGCCATATAAAAAGTTAATGCTTTTGCTTTAGATCATCCAGAAGAAATAGGTAGCTCCTACCTTGCATGTAGGGAGTGACACTATAGGAAATTGCTGCTGTTGCCACCTTTTGGTAGAGTCATCAGCTTTGATGACAGACTAAGCTCTCAATTTGCAATCTAGATCCGACAATTAGTAAAAAAAAAAAAAAAAAAAGTTGGGAGAGCGAGTGAGCAATATTACAGTTATAAAGTAGGCTCGGGTAGGCAATTGGATACCCTCTAAGTATTTTAATGTCAACTACATCAGCTTCAGCCAAGACATGTGGAGGGCACCAGGTTGCCTATCAAGATGCAGATTAATTGCATGGGTGTTGCAGTGACATGTGATTACATATAGCAATTTCAAGGGGATTAATGTTACCTAATATGTGAGGAGACTGTCTTAGCCTTGATGGGCAATAAAAAATTCACATTTCCTAGTGAATTTTCTCATATGACTACAAAATTTAGATGATGGAATCCCAACACAATGGAAAGTTACAGGTTGATGAAAGCTGCCTTATAAGACTGATTCTCAGTCATCCAGGTGATTGTTGTCCCAAAGGTGCCTTTCCCCCCTTTTCTTTCAAGAGGCAACTGAACTCTGTTTTTCCTTGAAGACGTTTCACTTCTTGGATGAGAAGCAAAACATCTTCAAGAAAAAACAAAGAAAGTCAAGTTGCCTCTTGGAAAAAAAAGCACCTTTGGGACTGGCTTAAGTGTCAATAGTGTATTTGATTACAGATTAGCTGTCGTCTTTAAGACAGCAGGAAAGACAGTTTGACATAAAGACACGAGCAGAATAATTGTTGCAGTAATGTTTATAGAATAATTGTCATGATATCACCTCCCCTTTGTCCTAAGGCCCTCTTTCCATTTCACTGAACAGGCATACAACGCACGACAAGAAGGGGAAAAAAACAGCTGACCTTTTTATTATTTTCAAAACCAAAGTGAAAACAGCTCTGTCAGATGAGTGAGGTTGGGCTTAGAAGGGCGACATGTAGCCTTGCTTAGAGGAAGAAGGCTAAAAGGGAAACCAAGGTCAGAGACAAGGGATGACGCCATATCTTTCTCTGTGTCAGATTAGGCTGGGGGAAGAAGGTTCAAGGATACCATGGATTGTGCAGCAAACTCCACAACCTCATTTTTTTCACTGCACTGCTTGCTCATTAGCACTGCTGCCAGAGTCCTGGGGCTTCATCACGTCTGGGAGCTCTGGAGGGCTGGAGAAGGGATCGATGCGGAGATTCTCAAAGACATCTTCTGAAGGGAGAGAAAGACATGTGTCATCTTGGAACAGTCATCTTGGAACGGTCCTATTTTATGCTACGTCACTGGCTACTATAAATCCCAAACCAAAAATGAAGATCCAAAGCGGTGGCAAACTACTCGAGTACATAAACAGTTCACACCTATTTTTTTTTTCAAATAGTGATTGCTTAATCCTGATTAATCCTTAACCAGAAGAAGCACATAAGCATTTTATTTCTATACTATTCACACTGATGAAGCCACATTTGGAATACTCCATTCAGTTCTGGTGACCAAGATGCTGAGGCCCAAGAAAGGGTGCAGACAAGAGCAACAAAGGTGATAAGGGGTCTGGAGGCTAAATGCTATGAAAAATGGCTAAAGGAACTAAATATGCTAAGTGTCCTTTTTCAAGAGGCAACTGGACTTTCTTGTTTTTCTTTGAAGACATTTTGCTTCTCATCCAACTGACAGCTATGACCCGGATGACTGAGAATCTCCATAGACATTTAGATATGTTAAGCTTAAGACAGAGAAGTATTCCAACATTTCAAGGGCTGCTACAGTGAAGATATACTTTCTCCATAGCACTTGAGAACAGGAGAAGCAGCAACGGCTCATCAGAGGGAGATCTAACCTGGAAATAAGGAGGAATTTCCTGGCAGTGAGAATTGTTAAGCAATGGGATGAGCTTTTGCCTCCTGGATTTGTGGCTGATCCAACACTGGAGCTTTTCAAGAAAAGATTGGATAACCATTTGCACAAGATTGTTTGAGTACTCCTGCCTTGGGCAGTAGGTTGGACTAGAAGACCTCCAAGGTCACTACCCTGATGATTCTATGATACTTGGGTGTAAGTAATGTTATTAATATATCTTTATTTTGTTTGCCTGAATACATAGGGAAAAATACTTGTTATTCCTGAGGCAACCCTATTTGCTTTCATTCTCTATAACTCCATGATGATTTTTTTAAAATTTCAGATTTGTTTCCATCGACATCCACGCAATTAAAAGTATGAATAAAGCCAAATAAATGATCCACACCTTTGGTGTGTTAAGTGGGTTTGGCTGTTGAATTGACTAATTTCATGCTCAATAGGGGATGTTCCAACCATTCAGAAATGTTCTATGGTCAACAACAATCAATTTTGAGCTCAAAATAGTGATTTAAACTTGAAATAGAGTTAATAGGCAATAAAATAGAAGGAAAATATGTCGGATATATTCACTGCCTTGAGTTATTTGTAATAATAATAAAGGCATGATATAAATAATACATTTTCAAAATGATCCTAACAATAAAGAGAGGTGTTTTATAAAAATCTCTCTCATCAATTGTGACTACAGTTAGCTGGATTCTGGATCATCTCAAGATTCCAAATGTTTTACAAGAGCAACCCTGCACAAGGCATTTTATAATAATTCATATTATTGTAGTTGAGCAGTTTACAATCCAGTGAGACTGAAGAAGCTTCTTGGATGAGAAGTGAAATGTCTTCAAGGAAAAGCCAGAAAGTCTAGTTGCCTCTTGTAAAAGCACCTTTGGGACAACCATGACCTGCACAACTGACAGACCTCTCCACAGACAGTGAGAGACACCGGTTAAAATTCATCACGTTGTTGTTTTGATGAAATCTCACAGACAGGGATTCTGTTTTTGAGCATTTGAGCCTCTGGAACAGGACTAAACCACTGGGAGCTGCATTTTTTATGAGGGGTAAAAGGGGTGCATCTAATGAAGCAATTATGTAAAAATGGGTGGGATGATCCTTTCCCTTTTCTGGAAAGTAGAGAGATTTTATAGGTAGTTGTCAACTTACAACCATTCACTTAACAACTGTATGCAGTTTACAACAGCACTGATAAAATGATTTAGGGTAGGTTTTTGCATTTATGACTACTGTAGTTTCCATGAAGTCACATGATAAAAATTTAGGTGATTGGCAACTGGCACTACTTTATGATAATTGTAGCATCCCAGGGTCATGTGATCGCCATCTGCAACCTTTGTAGGAGGGATGAACAAAGTCAATGGAGGAAGCCAGACTCACTTAACTCCAATTCAGGTATGACTCACTTAATGACTACATCATTGACAGTGACAGAAATCCCTGTCCCAACTGTGATGATAAATTGAGGACTACCTGTACTTTAAAAACTACCTTAAGTCTGTTTCAAGGCTTTCTAGTGCAGTTTGTGTATATTTCTTGCCTCAATGCAAAATGGAAGATTTCTGTGCTGCCAATTTTCAGCATGATTACCGTGTTCTCCTGAAAATAAGCCCTATCCCAAAATAAGCCCTAGCTTGATTTTTACATGTGTGCCTAATAAATCCTACCCCAAAAATAAGCCCTAGTTAAGACCCTGCCCACTCGTGGGGCAGAAGAAGTCGGGCAGCAGTATGACAGGTGTTGGGGCATGGGAGGCCTGGCTGAGGTAATCCTAAGGTAAGCAGGTAAGATATCCCCCGAAAATAAGACCTTATTTTGGGGTCCAAAAGAAAATAAGACCAGGTCTTATTTTCAGGAAACCACTGTAGTAGTCAGTGATCAGAGACTCTTGGACCAGATTGGCTCTAAGATGGCAGGTGCTAAAAGCTCTACATGGCTTGTGCTGCAGATACCCAATATTAACACCATCTCTGGAAGCCATCTTCTGTCTGTCTGCCATCTTCGGTGTGGGATTACACCATTACAAGTAGGTCTTTTCAAAGGGAGCACCCCAGGCACAGAATATTCTTCTAAGGCGAATTTGGCCAATGCCCTTAGGTTATCAGTAAAAACCACTTCCTTGTCTTAGGCTCTTTATCTTCAATGGCAATGTTGTGTTTCTTTGGTTTCAAGAAGCATGCAACAATTTCACTCACCACTGGCTCTGAAGGCCAAGCCGACTGTTGCTGGGGCCTGGGGCCGTGCTGTCTGACTGGTGAAGCCGCAGTCTCCAAGAGTTTTACTATCATCCAGCAGTTGATCATCCTGGAAAATGGGGTAATTTGCCCCAGGATGCAAGAGAAGTCTCTTTTAAAAAAAAGTCTGGTAATCATGAACAATCACTACTTAGAAGTGTAATTAAAATCAAGAAATTAGGTAATGAGACTACAAACTCTGTATAGGATATGGTTTAACTGTCTTATGCACATCAAATTATCATAGAGTTGGGGGGGGCAAAGAATAGAATAAGTTAGTCCTCGACTTACAACAGTTCATTTAGCGACCGTTCAAAATTGCAACAGCACTTGTAAAAGTGACTTATGACCATTCTTCAGTTACGACCTTTGCAGCATCTCCATGGTCACATGATCAAAATTCAGATGCTTGACGACGAGTTCATATTTATGGCCGTTGCTGTGTCCCAAGGTCATACGATCACCTTTTGCAATCTTCTCACAAGCCAAGTCAAGGGGGAAGCCAGATTCACTTAACACTTAATACAGGTTATTAACTTAACAACTGCAGCGATTCACTTAACAATTGTGGTAAGAAAGGTCGTAAAATGGGGCAAAACTCACTTAACAAATGTCTCACTTAACAACAGAAATTTTGGGCCCAATTGTGGCCTTGAGTTGAGGAATACTGTAGTAAGGCGTCTGTATTTTTTTTCTCCCACTAACTGTTCTACTTGCAAACCAGTATTCCGTGGAAACAATTTGCTACCTCTCTCCTTCTGTTTCTGATCTTACTAAAAAAATGAAGTATGAAGTTAGAGCTCTAATTCTAAGGATTCTTTAATCCCCAATTTTCTAGGGCACACAGAAAAATAGTTTCTTAGATGGGCAAAGGACTAAGTGGTTAGTGAACCAATTGCATTGGTATATCTCAGGGGTCTGCAATCTTAAACACTCAAAAAGCCATTTGGACCCGTTTCCCACAGGAAAAAAACCACCAGGCGCCACAAAACCTGGATGGGTGTGGCCAACTCCACGTCACTCACTCCTACCCAGTCACATTACTCCCCTTAGCCACGCCTACCCAGCTGGTCATTAGGGCAGAGAACTAGTTGTTAAAAAACACCGGGAACCACAAAACCCTTCTTTCTCTGTCTCCCTCCCCCTCTGTCTCTCTCTCCCCCTCCTCTGTATCTTTTGGATTTCCAAGGCCAGGCGAGCAGTGACTGGGAGGGGAGGGTGATGGGTGGGGCCAGTCAATGATGAGATAGGGAGCAGCAGCAGAGGGCCCATAGAGCCGCATGTGGCTCCAGAGCTGCGGGTTACTGACCCCAGTATATCTGATACAACTCTATGGGTTGTTAACTGCTTAATGTTTTACATGATTATTGTTTGATGGCTGGTTATTAATTTATTCCACTGAAGAGATACCCAGGTGTCTACTGTATACGATTTTTAAGCAATATATGAAGATCAGGATACTGAGAGTGCTACTTCCAACATTAAAACCAAGATATACTACATACAGCTGCTGGTCAGACCATAGATGTAATTCCCAAACACTCAGTACTGAGATAAGGACCAGCAAAATCCAGAAGCCTAACTATCCTCTTTCCTTAAATAGTGGGGATTCCAAAAGACCATCAGAATCAGCTAATGAGTGATTTGTTCCCTACAATTTGGCTGCAGACTAAGCAATGGGGGAAAAAAAGGCAGAGTTCCTAGAAATTCTAGAGTCTAAAAAATACAACTGAAGCTGTGTGGGATTTCTGAGTGCTGAAGACCCAATATTTTATTTATTTACAGGATATACATGGTCACCTGTTTTGTATGACAACTCTAGGTACCTCACAACAATCCATTAAAAAAGGTTAAAAACCAATTATTCTCACAGCTCAACTCATATCCTAATCTAACCCAATGCTTAGGGGAAGAGCCAGCTGTTCATAGCCCTCTGGAAGGCTAACAGGGTAGGATCTCAGATGGAAGTATCTCCTAAGAGCAGCAATTAGATTAGCAGTTAGATTAAGAAATTAATATAACCTCTGAACTGATCAAGGAGAGCACTGATATACCAACTTAGTAAACAACAGGTCGTGGTCAGTTGTGGGATTCAAATAATTTAACAACCGGTTCTTTGCCCTAATGATTTCTTCCAACAACCAGTTCACCAAACTGCTCATAAAGTTAACAACTGGTTCTCCAGAAGTGGTGTGAACTGGCTGGATCCTACCACTGGTCCTGGTGTAATATTATAATTTATTAAGAATCCCGAAGGTATAGTACTTTCTATAATAAACTCTCCATACCTTGTATAATCTCTGTTCTTCTGGAGGCCTCTTAAGAATCCCCTCCACAATTCTTTTCAGCTCATACACTGTACTGGATTCCTTGGCATCTGTGAAGATAGTTGTCTTGTGACGTCGGATCATTAGAAAAACATCCTGTTGGACAACAAACCGGTTCATAATATTAGGCGATCGGTAGCATTCGTAATTTTATCCAAACAAGCCACTACTATCAATAATGATAATGGCATTGTTTTATACAGTGGGAAAACCTCAACTTGTTATGTAGGATAGACAATTATTCTCCAAAATATAAAATACAAAGTACATAAAACCTCAGTTTTATAGAACAATTGAGAATTATTCCCGGGTGTTTGCTACATCCACATTTATGTAATATACATAAAATACATCTATACTGTTCAGATTGATTTGCCAAGCAACAGACAAGTCCACTGTTTGAAAAAGTGGCCTAAATTCAGACTTTATTGTTGCTTCTAAGGTCTTCAGGGGTCAGCCAATTGAGATGGTCAGTGGTCTTCCGGGTGCGATTCAAGGTGTTGGTCACCACCTTTAAAGCGCTCCATGGCACAGGACCCGGGTACCTTCGAGACTGATTTCTGCCACCAATAGCCTCCCACCGGCCAGTTCACTCCCACAGAGAGGGTCTCCTCAGGGTGCCATTGGCCAAGTTATGTCGGCTGGCGACACCCAGGGGGAGGGCCTTCTCTGTGGGAGCCCCAGCCCTGTGGAACGAACTGCCCCCGGAAATACGTAAAATCTCCGACCTCCGGGTGTTTCGTTGTGCACTCAAGACCCTGTTGTTCCGCCAGGCTGGTCTATCAACATAACAATTTTAAATTGGGTTTTAAATTTCTGGGGTTTTAAATTTGAGCCGAATTCATTTAATAATTTTAAACTATTTTAACTGATGTTGTCTTGTGTTTTAATAGGCTGTACACCGCCCTGAGTCCTTTGGGAGAAGGGCGGTATAGAAATAAAATTATTATTATTATTATTATTATTATTATTATTATTATTATTATTATTTGCTATAAACAAAACAGCAGTAGTTAACAATTGTATACTAAAATTAGCACTGTCATTTACAACCAGGTTAACACTTCAGAATTTAGAAGCTGTAGTAAATATAATCCTTCTTCAGGTATTCTCAAGGATGAAGCCATCAAAGACCCTACTTTCACAATATACTACAATCCTATTTCTCATAACTTGCCAACTAATAACCATCTGACTAGTTCTTATGGCCTACTTTAAGGCTCAGGAGAGTTTTTACAATTGTAGGTAGTCTCTCTATTAAACTGCACACAGTATCACAACTGTAATTTTTTCCAGACAGAACCCAGGACCACAAATGACTATGGCAAGGTTGCTCCTCTCTACATAGATTTGCAGCTGGGCATATTAGCTAAAACCACAAAAGGCACTCCAGGTAGCCAATGCTACCAGGCCCTCTCTGTAGATACCAGAGAAAATATATAACATATTCTCTCTTGATCGGTAAGTGTACTGGGCAAACTCAATTAATTTTGTTAGACAAACCTTGGCTTAGTACAATTTGTGAATCTAACAAAAGACATTCTGGCAGAGGAATGACAGATGCTAGATCTTCCAGATTGATTTAGAGAATTCAAACTTCCTCAGCATGGTACTCTTCAGATATGTTGGATGACAACTCCCATCATTCATAGCCAGTAGGAATAACAACAGAATGGTAGGCATTGTAGTCCAGTATATCTAGATGGCACTAATTTGGAAAAGATCTGGTAAATTGCTATCTCCGAGCAATTGCGTGCCCCGGTCCCCTTAGCTCTTCCCGTTCCCCAGGCTGCTTAGAATCTCAGCGCCCGAGTCTCCGGCTGATGTTATGTAATGCCAGGTCTGTAGTAAATAAAGCCCCCCTCATTTGTGATCTTATTCAGGAGGGGGGAGCGGACCTGGCAGGTATCACGGAGACCTGGTTGGGCCATGAGGGGGGAGTTCCCCTCGTGGAGATGTGCCCATCAAGCTTCCGTGCATTTCATCAGCCGAGAGCTCAGGGCAGGGGCGGGGGGGTGGCGGTCATTTTAAAAGAAGGTCTTGATCCGAGGGAGACCACTGTACCTCAGATAGCCGGATGTGAGTCCCTTTTTGTGAAGTGGGGTCGTGGGGTGCAGATGGGTCTGTTGATCACGTACCTGGCTCCCTGCCACGTGGCAACGACCCTGCCCGAACTCCTCAATGTTATAGCCGAGGTGGCGGCTGATACCCCCAGACTTGTGGTCATGGGGGATTTCAACCTGCCATCCATCGGTGAGACATCTGAGGTAGTTCGGGAGTTCATGGCTTCCATGACGGCCATGGACCTGACCCAAGTAATTCACGGCCCTACTCATATGGGGGGACACACTCTGGACTTAGTTTTTATCTCTGGTCAGTGGTTGAGTGGCCTTGATATAGGGGATGTAGATATTGAACCCTTGTCATGGTCTGACCACTCGCTCCTTCGACTTGACTTTCTGACCGCCGTACCCCGTCGCAGGGAGGCGGAACCGACCAGGTGGTTCCGCCCCAGGCGCCTGATGGACCCTGATAGGTTCCAGATGGAGCTTGGGCCATTTCCTGAGACTCTAGCTCATGACTCGGCTGAAGACCTGGTGGCCGCCTGGGATAGGGCGGCTGCCGGGGCTTTGGACCGGGTCGTGCCTTTGCGGCCTCTGACCCGGCACCGAACTCACTTAGCTCCTTGGTTTTCCGAGGAGCTGAGGGTGATGAAGCGCCGGAAAAGACGCCTAGAGAGCGGTTGGAGGGCCAGTCGTTCCGAGTCTGACTTGACACTGGTAAGGTCTCATATTAAGACCTACCTAGTGGCGATAAAAGCGGGAAAATCTAGCTATTTTGCCGCTCCTATCGCGTCATCAGATAACCGCCCAGCCGCCCTGTTTAGGGTGACCCGCTCCCTCCTCCATCTGGGAGCGCGGGAGGACCCCTTGCAGGGCCGAGCTGAGGATTTTGTACAGTATCTAGATGATAAAATAACTCAGATTCGGGAAGACTTGGCCGCCGACTGGGTTAGTTCAGACGAGACGACTGAGGCAGGCCTTGAGAGTGTTATCTGGGAGGAGTTCAATCCTGTGGCTCCCGAGGACGTGGACAGGATCTTGGGGCGGCTGAACGCAACCACATGTTTATTGGACCTGTGTCCCTCCTGGTTGGTGCTGGCTTCCCGGGAGGTTACACGAGGCTGGCTCCAGGGGATTATTAACGCTTCTTTGAGCGAGGGTGTCCTGCCGGCCGCCTTGAAAGAGGCGGTGGTGAGGCCTCTCCTCAAGAAGCCATCCCTGGATCCGGCTGTTTTGGCTAACTATCGTCCAGTCTCCAACCTTCGCTTTATTGCGAAGGTTGTTGAGAGTGTGGTGGCGCGACAGCTTCCCCAGTACCTGGATGAAGCTGTCTATCTGGATCCGCTCCAGTCCGGCTTCAGACCTGGGTACAGCACGGAAACAGCATTGGTCGCGTTGGTGGATGATCTCTGGAGGGCCCGGGATAGGGGTTCTTCCTCTATCCTGGTCCTATTAGACCTCTCAGCGGCTTTTGATACCATCGACCATGGTATCATGTTGCGCCGGCTGGAGGGACTGGGAGTGGGGGGCACCGTTTTGTGGTGGTTCTCCTCCTATCTCTCCGACCGGTCGCAATCCGTGTTGACAGGGGGGCAGCGGTCGACCCCGAGGCGCCTTGTTTGTGGGGTGCCGCAAGGGTCGGTCCTCTCGCCCCTCCTGTTCAACATTTATGTGAAGCCGCTGGGTGAGATCATCCGTGGTTTTGGGGTGGAGTTCCATCAGTACGCTGATGATACTCTGCTGTACATTTCCACCCCAGACCATCCCAATGATGCCTTGGAAGTGATGTCCCAGTGCCCGGAGGCCGTGCGGGCCTGGATGGGGAGAAACAGGCTTCGACTCAACCCTTCCAAGACCGAGTGGCTGTGGCTGCCGGCGTCCCGGTATAGCCAGCTGACGCCATCGCTGGTTATTGGGGGCGAATCATTGGCCCCCACGGAGAGGGCCCGCAACTTGGGTGTCTTCCTGGATGCGCGGCTGTCTTTAGAAGGGCATATGACAGCCGTGGCCAGGGGGGCTTTTTGTCAGATTCGCCTGATACGCCAGTTGTGCCCCTTTCTGGACCGGGACTCCCTACGCACGGTCACTCAAGCACTCGTCACTTCTCGTCTGGACTATTGTAACGCTCTCTACATGGGGCTCCCCTTGGGGTACACCCAGAGGCTCCAACTGGTGCAGAATGCGGCTGCGCGGGGGATTATGGGAGCGACGGGGCGCTCCCATGTGACTCCTCTCCCGCGCGAGCTGCATTGGCTTCCGGTGGACTTCCGGGTGCGCTTCAAGGTGTTGGTGATCACCTTTAAAGCGCTCCATGGCTTAGGGCCAGGGTACTTACAGGACCGCCTTCTGCCACCAATAGCCTCCCACCGGCCAGTTCGCTCCCACAGAGAGGGCCTCTTCAGGGTGCCGTCGGCCAGACAATGCCGGCTGACGACCCCCAGGAGGAGAGCCTTCTCTGTGGTGGCACCTACCCTATGGAACAATCTACCCCCAGAGATACGAGTGATCTCCGACCTTCGGATTTTTCGTCGGGCCCTAAAAACTCATTTTTTCCAGTTAGCCGGTCTGTCTTGATTTTAGGGTTAGTTTTAAAATTTTAATATTGATTTTAATTGACAAGTTTTAAATTATGGGCCAAATTTATAAATTATTTTAACTTTATTTTTAACTGTGATGTTTTGTATAGATGTTTTTATCTTGGCTGTTCACCGCCCTGAGTCCGAAAGGAGAAGGGCGGTATAGAAATTTGAATAAAGTAAAGTAAAGTAAAGTAAAGCAATGGTTCAGTTCTCATATATAATGCAATTCTGGTCTTCACATTTGCAAAATTCCCCAAACTATTATTTTATGTTTTTAGTCCCATTTCAGAAGTTATCCAAAGTTCTTTTACTTGTGGTAAACATCTCAAAGTTAGTTTAGATTCTTGCCCATTTAGAATGCAAAAATTCTGGCAACTTAACTTCTCTCCATCATAAAGGGTAACCTTTCATAGCTAATGTTTAAATCACCCTATTTTACAGAAACCAAGTCTTTGATTTACTCCTAAGGTTCAGATGTTGGAGACAGTCAGATTCAATCCATCCTAAGCCAGGAAAGCGGTGTAGTTGATTTTGGTTTGTAAATACCTCTCAATCCATCTTATTCCACAGGCTTGTTGTAGGAGGAAAAACAGATAGGGTGTAGAGATGAGATGTGATGAAGAGAGCCACTTTAGTCTAATAGTTAAGCACCAGGCTAGAAACTATGAATTCTATTACCACCTTAGGCATGAAGGCCAGATGGGGGACTTTGGGCCAGTCACTTTCAGTCCAACTCACAAGTTGTTGTTGAAAGAAAATAGTAAGATAAAGAAGTATTAGATACATTAGCTGCCTTGAGTTATTTATAAAAATAATAGGCAAAAACTAATATGGTGAGGAAAGACAGGTTACAGATTGAATCAAATCCAAAATCATGACATTAGGGTTTATGTACCAAGTAGGCCATGACAGTGCCCAAGTTCAAATTCTTCCTCAGACAGAATATTCACAGAGAACTTTAGGTGGGTCTCTTATACATACCTCCTACCGGCCTCCCTGCGCCCAGTGCGCTCACATAGGACTGCCCTCCTTCGGGTGCCATCGGCCAGACAATGTCGGCTGGTGGCACCCAGGGTGAGTGCGTTCTCTGTGGCCACACCGACCCTCTGGAACGAGCTACCCACCGACCCTCTGGAACGAGCTACCCACTGGGCTCTGGACGGCCCCCGACCTCCGCTCCTTCCGCGGCGACCTGACGACATGGCTTTTTCAACAAATCTCCTGATCTGTTGGGAATTCAGTTTTAATTGTTGGGTTTTTAATTGAATTATTTTTCTATTTCATTTTATTGTCGTTTTATTGTTGTGAGCCGCCCCGAGTCCTTCGGGAGAGGGGCGGCACATAAATGTGAATAAAATAAATAAAATAAATATATTAAGACTATTTTTACTTCTGTTCAATTGTCTCCGATTCTTAGAAACCCCTTGGACAAACCCCTGAGGTTTCTTGGCAGTTTTTCCAGAAACAGCTTGCCATTGTTCCTTTCCTAGGGTTGAGAGAGAGTGATCAGCCCGAGGTCATCCAATTGGTTTAGTGACTAAGGTGGGACTGGAATACACAGTCTCCCCGTTTCTAGCCTGATGCCTTAAGATTACACCAGACTGGGTCTTACAATGTTGCAAACGTTAACACTCAGCTATACGCCTCTAAACGTCTTATGAAAACATTGTTTTAACTGCTTCCTTATCAACCGCTTGAGTTGATAAGAAGCAGTAATAGTGCTTTGACCATTTCAGGGTAACATTAAACCCATCACTTGTCTTTTTACATATTTTTGTTTATACTTTCTCCAATGCCAGGGGCCAGGTCACCAAGGGTTGATGGGAGTTGAAGTCCAAAGCTTCTGCAGAGCATCTTAAAGGAAGGATAGGGTAAAAATTCAAAACTAAGAATTTGGCCAAGTTCAATGGTTTGGAGGCGACTTCCAGTTTCGCGCAGCCTTTTCATATTGTGCCCTAGAGCAGGGGTCAGCAACCTTTCGGACCTCAGGGACCACAAAATTGATAATTTTAAATCCTGCGGACCACTACTATGATTTTTTTTAAAAAAGATAAATAGTATTTAGTGCAATATAAAAATGCAAATTATTTTTCTGTGGATCATCATAATTTTCTCATGGACCACCAGTGGTCCACGGACCACCAGTTGGTGACCACTGCCAGAGAGAATAAAAGTATCTAGAAGTTTAGAGCTGTTATGTTTGCAACATTGTTAAGAGCCAATTTGGTATACTAGATACAGTTTGGTATAGTGGGCACATTGAAAGACATTTTTTTTCTTTATTACTTTTCCTTCCACCTGTCGTCCCCCCCCCCCCAAATACAAAGCAGCCTGTTTGCCAAAAAAGCATCCAGAAATTCCCTTAACTTCCTTGGAGATTAAACCTTCCAAGCTAAATTTATCAAAGTCTTTCTAACCGAGGTCTTTTCTGGATGCCTTTTAAACAAAACAAAACAAAAAAAACCCCACCAACAAACGTTTTACCAAATAAACCACCAGAGGATTTACGAAGGAATAACAAAAACGATTGCAAGGAATAACCAGGGCGGCGTCTTGGAAGTCCCCAAGATGGGAGCATCAGACAGTTCAGCGCCACCCACAATACCGGGAAAACCTCTCCTTCTTTGTCGCGTTAAACGTCCGGGCTGCCCCTCAACCCTTCTGGGAGCCTACCTGGCAGGGCTGTTGGGACGATAAAGCGGACTGGGAGGAGGAGGAGGGGGGGCGAGGCGGAACCAGAGGAAACCCGATTAAGACCATCCAGGTGGGGGAGGGGGGGACCCCCAAAAGGGAGCAAAGTTAGCAGGAAGCCGCTTCCTTTCGGGGCGTCGGGAAAGACGATGCGCGGGGGGAGCCCGGATCGCGTCCCCACGAAACGGGAGCCCGGGAAGGGATCGGGGAGGACGGGACGGCGAGGAGCATCCCACGGAAGGGCAGTGGGGAAACAAAAAGGGAAAGGAGGGAGGACGGTGATTCCAGGTCTTACGTTCCCGCTGCTACTATTTCGGGGCTGGCCCCGCTCCCGCACTCACCATCTCTGCAGATGCAGCCTCAGCCTAAGACCCCCCCAGAGAGGAAAAAGCAGCAAAACCCCCGGTTTCCCAACATGCACTGCAATCTCGGTATATAACCCAGCCCGGTTTAGTGGTGGTGGGGGCGGGAGAGGAAGAACACCGTGGCGCATGCGCCCCATCCGAGGCTCGCCTTACGGCTTTCGGTCGGGAAAAAAAAAAAAAAAGACCATAGACGGCCCATATAGAAAGGTTTGCGGAAGCAGCCGCCGGAAGGAAAGACGGGTCGGCGGCACGGAAGCGCTCGCTGCCATTTAACTTGAACCCTCGCCCAGTTTGGGAAGGTCGTCGCGGCTAAAGCGCCGCCATTTTCTTTCGTGACTCCATTACTCTCTATGGTTGCTTCCGTTAGAGTGCGGAAGTTAAAGGTTGCCTTCGCTGGCTTTTTTGTGTGTGTGTGTTTTTAGAAAGAACTTTAAAAATTTTTTTATACATCTTGGCGAGAATTCGCTTCCTCATAAAGTGGGAGTGGTCTTAAGGAGATAATTTCCGTTTTACGCCTCTCCGAACTAAAAGCGTTTCAAAAATCCAGCGTTAGGCGACGTACTTACTATATGTAATTACGTAGGAAGGTGGCTGCCATTTTGAGAAGGGCATTTGTGGCTTGTATATGAAGACCCCATTTTGTAAAATGGAGTTTCATGATACCCAGGATTTTGGCCTTTGCAGCAGGCAACCTCGATTTTAAGCGTGAAAAAACAAAACCACATCCCCATCATTTCCCTAGTTGTGCTGTATTACAAACCAGTGAATTATTAGGAAATATTTTTTTTTATACAAATTGGGAGTACCTAAAATAGGGGTTCCTAAATCTTGTTATCACACCTCCCTTTAATGTAATCTTAATGTATATTCCTCTCCCAAAAAACCAAACAGCAAAATGAACTTGTGGGAAGCCCCCACCCCCCACCTCCTAGAATAATGAAATATTTTGGGGAATATTAAAAATGCAGAATATTGTAGTTCCCTAAAGGAGAAATGGAGAAACATGCTCTTAAAGACAGAGAGCAGCCTCAGTCTTTCTTAGTAGCCCCCAGCAGACATTTCGTGCCCATTAATAAAAAGTGGAACAGCCTATTCAGAAATACCTCCAAGCGATGGGATTAAAAATTTACACTCTCCCAAATTCTAAGAACAGGACATGACCATTTAGGACATAATGAGATGAACCCACTACCATTTAGCACAGTGGTTCTCAACCTTCCTAATGCCGCGACCCATTAATACAGTTCCTCATGTTGTGGTGACCCTCAACCAGGGGTGGGTTCTAAATTTTTTTACTATTGGTTCTGTAGGCTTGGAGGTCATGTGACTGGGTGGGCGTGGCTAGCTGGTGATGTGACCGCGTGGCCATGGCTATGTGTACAGGGACTATTCAGAGGGCTGAAAAAAGTCATTTCTGACAGATCCTCACACTTTTGACTGGTCCTCACACTTATGACCATCCTCACATTTATGCCCGTGCAGCATTCTTAACAACCATGTCACTCATTTCACAACTGCTTCTCTTCACCATGGTGATAAAATAGGGCAAAAAACGTAAAATGTGAGGACAGTCGTAAATTTGAGGACTGGTCAAAAGTGCGAGGACCAGTCAAAAATAACTTTTTCAGCCCTCTGAGTAGTCCATGTGCACAAAAGGACTACCCAGAGGGCTGAAAAAAGTGATTTCTGACAAGTCCTCGCACTTTTGACCGGTCTTCGCACTTATGACTGATCATCATTTATGCCCATTGTAGCATTCTTAACAACCGTGTCACTCATTTCACAACTGCTTCTCTTCACCATGGTGACAAGATAGGGCAAAAATGTGAAATGTGAGGGCAGTCGTAAGTTCGAGGACTGGTCAAAAGTGCGAGGACCAGTCACAAAAAACTTTTTCAGCCCTCTGAGTAGTCCATATGCATAAAAGAATACAGCAATAGAGAGGGATGAAGGAAGGGAAGGGAAATTAGAGTAGGAGTGAGGGTAAGAGAGGGAGGAAGAGAGGAGGAGAAGGAGAAAGGAAGAGGAAGTAGGGAGGAGAAGAAGAAGGGGAGGAAGAGAAAGTAAGAAGGAAAGAAAAGAGAGAGGTGGTAGGTTTGAGGAGAAAGATTGCTGTACAATAAAAAAGATGAAAGGGAAGAAAGCCAACCCCAAACAAATATAAAGATATTAAGATAAAGAATGAATTGTTAAACTTTAAAGAATAAAAGAGAACAAAGATGAATAAATAGCAATAATTAGAAACACACATACAAACATACAATGTATTTTCTTTGAACAGAGTATTTGGCCACTTCACAAATTTAAACAGTGTTTAGTCATTTCAATTAAATTTACAATTTCTATATTTTCTTTTTGCCATATTTATTCCTCATCTATTTTTTTAAAAAAACAATATTACCCTTCATCCTCATCTCTAATCTTAATCAAATTCAATTTTTCCCTTCTATATTATACCCTTTCCCATTGTCATCTATTTTTATATCCATCCTCACATTGGTTAATTATGTAATTATTTGTTTAATACAAATTCAACATTTTAATATAAATCAATTAGTTATATAACTATCTTTTTTGTATATCAATCAATATGAACATGAATATTCCAATTATTTCCATGCAATCCAATTTCTTACAAATCAATTAATTATATTTACCAATAATAATAAACCAAATAATTTCCCCCATATATTCCTCCAAACCACAACTTAACCATTTCTGCTTTCAACACAATATACAATTAATAGTAACTCAATTATTATAATTCCCTAGTTAAATAGAGCTTTTTTTCTTTTGTGTTTTAAAATCTTGAACCTCCTCTTTTGCCCTAATTTTTCCCATTGTTTGCAGTTTTGCACCTACCTTTTTGGTGAGGAAAAAGAAAAAAAAAGAAATCTCTCTCTGCCTCATTTTGTCACGTTGCAGCAAAGACCCCGCTTTACTTTCAGTTTCGTTTTTTCAGCATAGCTAGGGGGGAAAAAAATCTGCTCGTCTCTTTGCAGCTAGCAACACAGCCCTGCGCAAAACAGCTGAGAGCAAATCAGCTGAGAGTCCGGAGGCTGATCAGATCAACTTATGGTAATTAACCTATGCTGAAGCTGAAAGGGGCTGTTTTTTTCTATTTTTGCAGGCACCAGTCTTCTCATTTGTTTTCTTTTAATACTGATCAGCTGTAGGGCGGCCCTTTGAAGCCCCACGGCAAGAATTTAAACGGTTTGTTTCCCTCTACCCATCAGCTGGGACTCAGGAGGCAGCAATAGATTGGGAGTGGGCGGGGTAAGCGACCGGTGACTGGCGATCAAATAGAGGCAGAGGGTGAGGGTAAGTGAAGGCGTGGGGGGGCGGCGAGAGAGGGCTTTGGCGACCCCTGTGAAATGGCCATTCGACCTCCAAAGGGGTTGCGACTCCCAGGTTGAGAACCGCTGATTTAGCAGAAGACACACAGCTCACTACAATTGCTCAATTTCCTAAGGGCATTTCAGACCTTGCAGCCCCCCTCCCTCCCCAGCTCTTCAGAATCTGTATAAAAATCCTGGCACTCATCTATCTAATTGGTCAGCTGCCCCAGAACCACAAACCCTGCTGGTTCTGTTCAATAAACAATCTTTCTTTTCAACCAGTCTCCATATTATTTCCAGCGTCTTTCTTCCAGCTTGGAACTGAATCTGATGGATTTTCCTTCCAACAATTTGGCACCCCAAGTTAGGACTCCAAGCTAATCTGACCAATGGATCTGGCCCGGGTAAGCCTCCACCTTGCCGGCAGCAAACCCATTGAGTCTGTGGGTGGGATCCCCTGGACATTGGCCGTTTGGAGCAAGCATAGGAATTTTGAGTTTTGAGCTCGAAGGCTGCTTGGAGCCTCTACATTTTAACTTTAAAAGCCCAGGAGGCGAAAGAGGCTGTATGTGTGTGTTTGTAGGAAACCTCCCTCTGCCACAGTGGATCCTACTGCCTCTGTGCCTTTCCTAGTGTGAGATATAAGACCCAAATATTTTAATCTTCACAATTCATAAACAAGTCTGGTTCACAAATTCAAAGGTTTATTGGAGATAAAATGAAGAAAAATAAAAAGCGGTTGCAAGCGCGGCCTCTTAGACCCTTCCCAAATGGATTGAGTTCAAAGAGCGCAAAAAACAGTTTTCAAGCTGCTTTATATTCCTACACAATGCACACCTCGCCTAAGAATCCCTCTTTATTCTCCTAAGTTATTCTTCAAGTTGTTTTACACTTTAAAGGGTTATCTTGACATCTCCTGCCTAACAACAACTATCTTACCGTGTTTACTTTTAACTTTACCTTGGGTGGATGCTCTTTTTTACTGATAACGGTTTTGCCCAAAGCGTAGGTTCCTGTCTCCAAGGGAGCTTTTAGCAAGTCATAACACATTGTCTCTACTAATTACAATTTGTGGTCAGTTTCCAACAGTAAGAACATCATAGCTTTTTAATACATTAAACACTTTCATAAAAGAGTAACTTATTATTCATTTCCTTCACTAGCCACAAAAAAATCTGTTCAACTGACAGAAACGGAAAAGTGTGGGGGTTAGGCCAGAACGTAGGACCTTCTGTTAAGAGAAGAGAGAGAGAGAGAGAGAGTAAGTGGGAAGTGATTGAAGAAAAGGAAAGTGAAAGGTTCACTCCTGGGCAACTAGCTAAGCATCGCTGAGCAGATCTCTATTTTGGAGAGGAGGTACCCATATTCTGATTAATTTCGGCAGACTGTTCTGTTCACCAATAAACAGAATCTTTCTTTTCAATCAGCTTTTATGTTATTTCCAGCGTCTTTCTCCCAGCTTGGAACCGAATCAGATGGATTTGTCAGACTTCGATGCTATCTCAAAATAAATGAATTTCCAAACTGACAATTTTTAAGGAAATCTTCTCTTTATTCGAGCACAGCAACCGGATCATGACTCGATGCGGACAAGACTGACCTTTTGCCCCACAATCCCTCCCTTTCTGATCCCCAATTATCTGCTTCTCATTGGCTATCTTCCAAGTCACTCTCCTGACTTCTTGTCTCGTCATTTCACAGGAATGTTCCCCCCCTCTTCATTTCCACGGAGACCGGGCTTCAAAGGGATTTAGCAGGCAAAAGTTCAGGGCTTATCTCCCTTCCTATGTCAGCGCTGAGGTGCTGACATGAT